CCTTTCCAACCCAAACCGTTCTATGATTTTGCATATATCAACCTCCAAAGTCATCCAAACACTGATCATTTGATGAGAGGTGTTTTGTTTGTGTTTGGTTTTTATTTTCCTTAGGGGAATAACAGCAACCTCAGAAACTGCATTCAATATCCATATAGCTTTCTGGACATTTTTATCAATGAGAGTGAGAACAAAATTTAAATTAGCTCTGTTAGAAGTATTTGATCTCTGACTTTCCTATTAATTTTCAACACAGCTAGTTACACACAGGTCCTTAGAATATGGCATTGATCAAGATTTGTAAAATTCGTTATGTTGTTGCAATTCCTTTTCAAGGAAGAGAGTTCTTTCTTACAAAGATGTTAAGCATTCTATCTCAGGACACAAAATGGAGGTTAGAAAATGAAAGCAAGGTACGGATTTTTTTTTTAAATTATTATGTATGAATCACTTACCATTGGGTCGAACTAGGAGCACAAGTTCCCCTGAGTGTCTCTCACAGCTAGCTTTAATAAACATAACAACTTGATCATGGGTATGTTCTGCTATATCCCTGCCATTAATCAATACAACCTGGTCCCCTTCATTCAAACGAGGGACACAGAGATCAGCCTGCAAGGTGGGGAAAAAAAATAAAATCTGTAAAACAAGTAATTTTCAATTTCTCACCTTAAAATAGCAACTTAAAGGAACTATACTCAGGGACTTGAATGCTAACAGGCTAGTTGCTATGGTTGCTGCATTGTATTCAAATTATAAATTTAAGGGTTACACAATATGTAAGACTGCCATTCCCATGAACAATTTGCAACTGGGAAGTGACTGTCATTGCAACATGCCTTTTGGCAGCTGTTACTCCACTCCTCTGGTTGAAGTAGAAAGCTTGTCTGTTTGAATCACATTTTCTATAGGCAATTAAAAACCTGGATGTTCTTATCTTTGAAGGGAAGGGAGTAAGACACCAAAGCCTTGTCCAAATCAATTTCACAGGCTCAAATGCTTCAGGTGTGAAATATCACAACTGTTATGACAAGAGTAAGACAAGGACGGAAGACAATGCACAAATCCCAGTAATCCCAGAGAGAAGAATCAGGTAACAAAAATCATTATTATAATTGTAGCCTAAACATCATTGCAGAAAAGAAAGAGCATATGCCATCATCTTCTTTTTAGAGAGGAGATGTTTAAAGCATTCAGCCAAAATTATTTATGTTATTAAATATTTCAGAGATAATAATTACCAGGGACAAGAACAATGCTCTTGGCAAAAATTTAAATAGTTTCAGGTAGTAAAAAAATAACTGTGCTGTACTTCTTAAGTGTTAGCAAATAAATGGTTCACTCTATTCAAAAAGGTATAAACAGAGCTGACTCCAGTCAGTTGAATACCAGGTCAGTATTTCTGGCAATCAACTGACAAAATATTGTGCCTACTTTGAAGGCACTATTGATAGTCACTAAACACCAGCAACAACAGACAATCAGATCTGATGAATGATTCATGATGTTTGATTTTCATCTAAATCTTGGCTTTATTCAGCTACATCTGTCACTAAAATAAGAGGGATTTGCTACTTTAGTTATTTTTAACATACTAAAAGACTCTTCCAATGTATGTGAAATCATATTTATATATACATATTTTTTTAAAAAGTAATAAAGTTATTTTTAGGATGACACAGCTCAAGAAACAGTACATACTGAACATCTGTAACTCCCTGTAATTTTCAGGAATTTTGATTTAGTAAGAAAAAATATTTCTGAGAACTTCTAAAAATGTTAGGTAGCCCCATCAAATTCCTACTGCACATAATTTGCTTTGTTAGGAAAATGTTACAGCACAAATTAATTTTCATAGGCAGCTATGAAATAATTTGCAGTTTTGAATACATACTTCAAGAT